TCTGGTTGACCGACTTGAATAGTGTACCTAAACATTTGGGATGCTTTATTGTATGTCTGTTAACTAAATTTTTATATTAGTTATATTTTAGATGGTTTGAGGCTCATCAACCAAATTCACTACCATTTGGAAAAAAAACAAACCATTACAACCGAAATTATTTTGTGACTATTTAGCACGTGGCAAGTTTTATAATTCATTGATCTTGACATTTAACGCGATAAACTGTAATTCCATGTATCTTTGATATCAGCAACTTACTATTTACCTACACCCCTCGTGGATCATAAACCGCCGAACAGGATTCTCCAACTAACACTGTCCTGGGCTCTCTCCTTTCCACTTGTTTCCAAGCGCTATTCATTTTTATGATCTTCGCCTCCAATTCCCTGAGGGGTGTGTACCTTGGTGTGTCGCTTTTATTTTGACCTTGAGGATTCTTAGTTAGGGCTTGTCTTGCGACTCATCTGAGTGACTTGCGCAGTGTGTCCTTACCATCTCTGCCTTTTTTTCTCATTTCTCAGCTGCAATCCGGTCTATCCCCTTCCACAGTAGGTTGTTGCTGATGGTGCCTTGCCAAAGGATCCAAAGTATTTTGTCTAGACAACTGTTGATAAACGGTTGTATCCTCTGGATGATGGTTTTCGTGGTTCTCCAAGTTCCCTCTCTATACAATAAAATTCTTGACGTTTGTATTGAAAATCCTGACTTTGGTGTTGGTTGACAATTGTTTTAAGTTTCAGATGTTCCTCAATTGTAGAAATGCAGCCCTTGCTTTACCAATCCGTGTCTTCTCATCGACATCATATCCCCCTTGTTTATCAATGATGCTGCCCAGATGCATCTCCAAGTATGCTACAGAGGCTGCTGTTACATTAGGTGTCTTCACTTTGTGTTAGTTAGATCAACAACACTTGTCTATAAATACAAACAATTAATTTCCTATCAGATAAAGCATTCATCCAACTTTCCGCTACCTATCATTACCAAAAGTTGGCAGATTTTTAATTTCAAAATCACTCGAAAAAGGAAATAATTCAAAAATACGATCCTCGTGATTCTAATCAGTAATTGAGAGTTTTGTATGATAATAACTACAGTTCAGAGCTTTCTTCATTAGATGGTACCTTGTACCTTGTTAATATAATCACTCTTAACCTAGTATTTCTCATGAGTATCATCATAATCTTACTTGATTCTCTTTATGTTGATATATTTATCCAACCTAACTAGAGTTTCCTCATGCACTCCATAGTTTATTTAGACTAGTTTACACTTTATACAAAATTACTAGTCTACCATTTTGCTTCACTATATACTACTAGTTCAGGGTCAGCCAACATACCTGCAGCACATGCACATTGCTGATTTTACGCAACTCAAGGAATCACACAACTGCCAAAACATGATCACCTTTGCCCCAGAGGGAACGCACATGTCTAGATTCTCACACAGACCAGTTGGCCATCCAGTCAGTGTACGCGTGAACAGTCACCCCTGTACAGGTGCATTTCAATCAACTCGATCCCTAAAACCAAGCCGCTACTCACAGTCAAGGCAAGGGCAGCAAGGCGGGTTAGCCAACTAGACCTGACACTCTGTACAAGTTACCGAGCTACCCAGCAGTGCACTAACCAACAGCCGTTCCAACCGACTGGTCTCCAACTCCCTCACGCACGAACAATCGACCAAAGTCCTCTAACCCCCACACAAAGCCAAGTATCGATTATCTCGCAAGGTCAACCAGAACGTACACACTCCCATGGGGTTGATGTCATGTACCCGACCGAGGTGTCGCTTACTCCATACCCAACCCTCCACCTTTATCCGGGCTTGTGTCCGTTAGTAACCCTGAAAAGGCTCTAGACGGAGTTACATTAACAGAACATTTTGACAAAACACATAATACTTGTTGGTTTTACAAAAAATAATACTGTTAAAAACAATAAGTTCCAGTCTAGATTATATACAGCATGATCAATATTACTTAAATATTATTTTAAAAACATTTTGCATCTTGAAATCTGAAATCTTCTCGGACTCCTTGTCTTTTAAAAATTTCACATTATAAATTATCAAAAGTTGCGTAAAATAATGTTACAATCAATCCATATCATTGATTATTTATTCGTTGTTAATAACTATAATGATACTAGACGATAAAAACACTTAGAATATAATTTATAATTTTCACAAATCTATTAGTGTTCATTCATTCATCTTCATTTAAATGACTGTATTTATCAAATGTTAAGCTATGCTTTTTGTTACAATTTGAAGAAAATTTTCGTTTTTTATATGATTACTACATACAATTATAAAGCACTTGTACACATCATTTATTTTCATGTTATTCAAACAAAATAATTGGTACAGTTATTTATGAACCATAAGAGATTTGTTAGATTTGTGTGTGCTAGAATACTGACCGATTACCCTAACTGAAACAGCTAGTTTTCTATAAGGACTGCTCCCCAAACTGTTGGTCCAGAGATCTAATCCACAAGACAGTAGTGCAAAGTGGGCACATGTAGTTCGATTGTGGCCGGTGACCATCAATAAGTTTGTACGCCATTAGTCGTATATGGATTCTACAGTTCATCTGAAGCATTTGCAGTCAACATTTCCCAACTTCTTCCCTTAGTGAATCCTCTGCATTCACTAACCGGGTTAAAGCACCTGACATTCGCTTTTCGTCCTTAATTTCGTGAGTAACAGCCCCGACACCAAACGCCGGTGAGTAGGACATACTTGACTGCGGCATTACATGAGTGACCATTGGAAGGGTTTCGAAGAGGGAGAGGGTACCCTCTTTACTCAACCCTATATATACATAATGTCCTACTGTAAAATAATCATAGTTTTCGGTAAAATCCTAATGTGAGTAGACTTTTGTATTTCTACTGTTCCGTAACTCAGTGCGAATCACCGAAATTTCTGTTATTTATTCTTTTACTGTGAAAATATGACATGCAATATTAATTCACAAAACATAAATACAAATTTCTACTCATTGAGATATTGCCAAAAATCCTAGTTATTTAATTATTATCAATTTATCATTAAATTCTCAATTTATCTGAAGCTACTAAGTTCAATCTTATTAATGATAGTTAAAAAACTGTCAATATTGTCATCAATTGTTAAATATAGCACTCGTCATTCCAAGTTAGTCGTAATACTCTATAAGTACACATTAACGTTACTTTGTTTTAGACATTGTGTATTTACAACATAATAATTCACTTGTAATACATTTTTATATTGATCCACTAGAAATTTTTCACTAGTGTCATGAACAAAGACATCAAGACCAGATAGCACAGTAATGTTATTTTAATAGGATATAGTTTACCAACAAAGTGTGTACACCTAATCTTCAAACTTTCATTTGCAAAACAATCAGGTAATTGACTGTTTTCTTTCACACATCCGGTTTTTAAAACACTTTTATTGCGCCATGCATTCGGATCCGGTAGTAGCTGCTGGGTGACACTCTGCTGCATACCACATAGAACCCATGTTGCAACTAGTAACCACCATAGTGGGCACCTACATTTCGCGTTTCGAATAGCCCTACCATTATAGTGACTAAAGAATGAATAAAAAATCATAGTAGTATATGTAATAATCAAAATTTTGACATTTAAAAAATAATTTTTAAAAAGAGTGAATTAAAACCAAAGCATACGAAGTAATAAAATACAAGTTTACAAATTCAAGATTTAATAAAAGACAAAGAATAAATACATCTGTACTTGGCAATTTGACCAAATCCATTTGATTTAAGTGTGACTGAGTATTTCATATTCAGGAAGAAATAAGCTAGACCTGTAAGAGAAGCATGGTAAACAATGCACACATGCATTCAAATAAGAACATCCAATGTGATAAACAAGTAATTAACAGGATCGAAATACGAGTTAACAATAATTCGAGAAGAATGGCCTATCTCAAAACTAAAACAGATCATATAGGCTTGATACACTACAAATGAAATTATATTTTAAAAAAATAAACAAAAATGTTGTCAGTCTATGATACAAAATCGATCGATTTATTAACTGACAGTGTTGGCGTAAATCTTGTAAGGATGATGCTAGATTTTCGAGGTACAGATTTTTGAGGAGGACAAAAATCAATAATTAGAGATCGCCAACCTCGTTTATAAACATCTAGTTATGTGAAGTCGTATTACGTAGATTCGACTAAATTGAGTTAACTCAATGAATAACACTGGATGATAAACACATTACATTGTATTGTCTGAGTTTTTTCCCATTGTAGATCATTGAATTTCGTTTTAATGTCTAGAAGATGTCATGCTCTTTGTGATATATGTTTATTCATAGATCGACCCCTAGTTTTAATCACCCTGGTGTTCACTTTTTTAAAGTGTTAGTTCTACACGAGAACGAAATATCGATTTTTGTGCCTATTTTTATCTGTTGTTCAACAGATAACAGTTTGTGATAAAATTTCTTCCTACTTTTTGAAGAAAATCACATGTATGAATTTCCTTTTCACATGTTTTTCGCATTCTGTCTTATTTTCTTTGATCATCTGCTTTTTGAATAAATAAAAATAATGAGTGAATTGTCACATTCTAAACGGTAGCTTTCATCTCTTTCTCTCTCTCTCTCTCTCTCTCTCTATATATATATATATATATATATATATATATATATATATATATATATTGATAACCAATATACATCAAGAATGGAAGCCTTGACTACTCTATGCTCGAACGACAGCCTATTACTAGCTTGCCCCAATTGAAGAGGAAGAATAAAGACTAATGACTATCAGTTCATGATTTTCGTTATTATATTTCAGACATTTCTTTATATATACACACACAACCACATCACATCGCACCAATAAATGGCATTTAACAAGTATGCATGAGTAGGCTAAAAGTGGCATTGAATAGGGGAGATTTTCTGTGATAAACTATCACCAGAAAATTAGGGACAATCATTGTCTGATAATGATTAATGGATTCACAGTAAGTTTATGACAAACGAAATAAATTTTGTTTTATATATATGATAGTCTAGTTACTGAATAAATACGTAATCCTTATAAATAATATAAGAACTTGGAAAAATATCTTACAAAACTTTGTTGTTACCTTCTATTTCAATCGCTTGTCACAACAACAAGATAATACATTTTAATGCATGTATCGATATACACTTACTTTAATCTTCAATATGTAATCATAAACATTGAAAGAAAAAAAATTCATCGAATTAAAAATGATTCTTTCATAAAAATAAAATTCATTTCATTTTTCAAATAATCTACTTGATAAATGTAGACCAAAGGACGAAATGACAAAGGAAAAAAAACCAAATATCATCTACAAAATAAATTGCTCAAACTGTGAAAAACACTACATAGGACAAAGTGGACGACCTCTTCAGCTCCGTTTACGTGAACATCAATTAGCAGTCAAACGCCACGACAACGCTTCGCTTATCTCAATACATACCGACAACTATGGACACACATTTGATTGGAACAACGTGGAAATACTGGGTAGGGGGAGGACAAAGAACACTAGAGAATTTTTAGAAGCTTGGCACTCAGGTCAATCAGCAATCAACAAACACATCGAAATTGACCCAATTTATCAACCAATCAGGAGAATCATAGGTGACACTGGATCAAGAAACAGATCAAAAGAGGGAGGCAATCAAAACATAGTTGCAAACAACGACAGGTCAATGGTCAACAACAACCAATCAAGATCGAGGTCAGCAGAACAAGCTACAGGTCAAACGTGGAGATATTCTAATGCTTCACTTCTATCTGAAGTTCGTGCTGATGATGTTGTTCAGAAGAACAATGAAAGCTCCACAACCAAAACAACCAGCTCAGAGAACGAAACACCACCACAATCATCCACCTGAGCTACAAGTTTTCTCCACCATCTTGAAATTAAGACGTTATGCAACTAACTACTCAATGGAAATCTAATTAAAAAGAAATATCTTCAATCTATTCGTTTTTTTTATTAAATTTCGAAATCATTTGTGAATTTCTCCATTTGATACTAGTATGAAAGTATCGGGCTACTTACATTTTGGATAATGTTCAGCTGTCGTTGAAATCACTAATCTACCAATTTTAGATATCAATGGATGAAAGTCACGCAATATCTTGGATTGTTTGAAGTTATACATTAACACCCTTAGATGCTGCCTCATCGATCTAGAAGTTAAGCGTTCACGTGCATAACCGAATGCTCTGGGTATGATTCCTGTTCGTGGCGTCATAAATGAGCACTGCTGATGAGTCCCATACTAGGACGAAATGGCATTCTAGTGCTTCCAGCTTTTTAATCGTGGTCTAACAGCGATCGTTTCATGATTTCAATGAAAGTCAACGATCTCCACATCCATATCCTGATAATTTTCGGCCTTGTTGGTGTGATGAATACGATCGTAATTGCGAATGACCTACGAAATTGATTATTCACGATAAATGATGACATTCAATTATGTTTATTTGTATGTTAATATTTCGTAAACAAGTATGTTATTTTGTTGGAAAATGAATAAGCTGTTCTACTAGGCAACTGTCTGATCTCATGACATTTCATTTTTTCGAAAGGACTTGCATCAATAATTCGGTTTTTTGAGTAGCCGTCACTCAGTCACTTTCTATCACTGTATTCGATCTACCGATCGAAACTTTATTCATTTATTCTAATAATTAAAAAATTTGTTTGTTTAGTAAATAGTACTGTGTAATTTGTCTATTCTATTACAGCATTTTACTGAAACCGTTCTTACACCTAAATTGTGACTTGTAAGACTATAGTTTTAAAAATAGTACAGATTTGTTGTTGGTAGTGAATCGTTGTATCACCGTTTTGAATAGTATCATCAAACCGCTTGTCTCATTGACTTTATCCCTCTGTTGGTTTGTTTTAGACATATCGTTATCTTCATATTTATGTTGATTATCTTCCCATTTTTGATTTGATTCATGATCCTGCATTTATTTATGATATATTGACTGACTATTGCTAATTGATTTGAATGTCAAGCTTGTAAATATTCGTTGGTTTTTATTTGTATTCCTTTTCCAAAATCTCAGCATTTGTTTTTGTTTAGATAATCAATATAAACTTCATAAGTATAAATGACCAAGTTCATTGGAAAGCAAACTCTATCAAATAATATATATTTAGGATTTTTGTACTGTTTACGTTTATATTGTTGATAACATAATGATTTGAATAATGTTTTACCTTATATATAATGGATTATTCGATTTATTTTTCTTATTTCTGCTTTTTTTTTTAACTTCAGTGAATATTTTCTTGATCCATGTTTATGTCGACCGTGTAAAACTGCTTATTCATGGTTTAAAATACCAGCTATGCTATTGGCATGTTTTTGTTTATTAACATGGTTAAGTCTAGTCGGTCGTAGAGCTTATTTACGTCGTAATAATTTAACAACCACACGTCCATATTGTTCATTATCTGATTTAACTTATACAACAACAAACAGACACCAACATCATACACGTTCATCACGTTCTGGACGTATTCGAACTGGTGGTGGATTTTCTTCACCGTTTAGTATATGGGAAGCAAGATCATATGGTTTAGACAATATGAATAATACATCAAATTCAAACTGGTGTAATCTTTCTTCATGTAAGTTATTATTCAAATTATTGTTTCCATTGAATTCTGTAATTTATTTTGTTAAAAATTTATCTATTGCTTTACTTACTGTATTCTATAGAGAACTGAGATAGATCTACTCTTTCATGGTTTACATTGTAACGCCTCGGTTTCTTTCTGTATTGGATACTCAACCAGTACTACTCTATTAGATTTCAACACAACTCAGATCAAGAACGTGATTAGCCTGATTAGAATATATATTAGTTAACAATCAAAACAGAATTTACGTTAATACAAAGGGTAGGGAATTTATGTGTTACCTCAAATGCCTATCAGACTATCAATCTGTATTGGTATCATATGTATAATACAGTATGGAATCCTCAGTACGGAATATTTCAACAAGTTTCTTGTACAAAACAATTAGTGAAGTAAGTAAGCAGTTCAAGAAGTGATATCTTATTAACGCTCTTTTTTTTCTCAACAGATTGCAAGCCTCCACGTTATCTCGGATTGCGCCTTTTTGTAACTTGTAAAGCGATAGCTCGTAAACTTTTCACATACGCGCCTGAATAAATTATGCGATTAATCAACATAATAGACATGTTAAGACTGTAACGCATGCACATAAACATGTCAAATTGATACGCTTGCATCATTACGAGTTTACCTTAGTCGGAAAACGAGAGCGAGGATCGAGGATCCGGCGACATGACATGCTACTCTAATCTGAATGTCCGAACCCCCATTGAGTGAAAGAAGAAGACTTGATATGAAGTAGAACCTGTATTGTACAAACATCCAGAAATTACGAGGTCCGAGTTCAGAAAAAGACACGGATCCAGGACTGAGGATCCGGGTCTTGGTCATAGGACGTTACGGATAATGCGTATTCATACATTTGGGTTGAATAGGAAACAGCATCTAAGTCTGTGACATTGACAGTTAAGACGACCAATAAGAAACAACATTGAAGTACGTGACATTAATATGTAGGACGATCATAAAATTGACCAGTAGGAATTAACCAATAATTCTCCTAGGATTTTGGATGAGTATCCTAACAAAGACCGAATAGAAAGAGGTAACTTGTTGAAATATTTTGATGTTACGAAACAGGTAACCTATATATTTAAACAGGCCGCTCACATAATAAAAAACCTTTAAACAAACGTTTTGTTTGATATTCTAATTCTATGCCCCATACTGACTTTCTTGCGGTCCCAGTACCTAGCTTACCTTATGCTTTACCATTCACTTACAAGCTTGTCATCGGATTGTATTCTCCAACTTCGAATGGTTCATGTTAAAACTTGACCGCTCAAAAACCATCCTAATTATTGAACGAGACTTTAGATCTCTATCCTGCACAACCCAGAACATGGGTTTTAAAAAATAATTAATGTATGCTTGATAAAATTGAGAATATCTTTTAGATTGTCAGTAAGATTAACAGCTAACTAAATCAATGAAACATGCTATTTAATTAAGCTAAAATCATCAAAGTATGTATGGTTTTTGAATAGAGTAACTTCATTCTGTATTAAACGTTATTTAAGTGTGATGTCATTGATTATTTAATGTTAATATAAGTCACAAAACTGCAACTAACAGTTCGGTAACTTAAATAACCGAAATCATACCATATAAAAATAATCTCGATGTATTAGAAAAGAAATACTTATTATTATTTTCATTATCATCAGTACAGTCAGTTGATAAGATCATAAAAATCATCATCTTAGTTACCAGTGAGAATTAACTTTGACCCATTACTAGAGTCAGCAAGTTGACGTAAGTCCTCCGACTCTTCATGAAGTTGAGAAGGCGATAGGAAATCTGAGGCGAGGGCGGACTCCAGGGCCTGACAGACTTACCCCAGAGATTTTTATGGATGGTGGCCCAGTTTTGGCAGCTAGACTGACTGAGATCTTAGTTAGAAGCTGGGAACTGAGCGTAATCCCGTCTAACTGGTCTCAGTCACTGATTGTCGCAATTTATAAGAAAGGACAATCACAGAGGAATCAGCTCAACTAATATAGTTTCTAAATTGTTAGCCTCGATTATTCTTAGACACCTAACTAAAGCTCGTGAAGAGCAGACTGTTTTTCGACCTGGACGTGGATGTATAGACCACATTTTCACACTATGACAGGTCCTGGAACACAGACATACATTTAGGCGTCCGATCATAGTTGTAATCCTGGACCTAAGGCGGAATTTGACTCTGTGGATCGTGAGGTTCTGTGGCAGTGTCTATCAATTAAAGAATTACCAAGGAAGTGCAATCACCCTATAAAAGCTCTCTGGTTGAGTCACAGCTTATGGCGAACTGTCATCAAAATCGATTAGTTAGTGTGTTGTCCGTCAGGGATGTCCAGTTTCTCCATTCTTATTTAACTTTAGCATCCATATGATCTTAGAAACAACACTCCCATCGTCTGACTTTTCAAGAGGTGAACTTTTACCAGGAGGTTCGCTCCTCTACTTACAATATTCTGGTGATATAGTTCTACTTGGTGAAGTTGCTGAAGAAATGCAGAGCCTTTTGATCACTCTCAGCAACAATGCATGAACGTATTTTTGATACGCCTGTCACTCGTAATGGGCCGCCAACTAGTGAATTATTTTTCTGGTAAGCGTTTTTTTTAGCGAGTTCGATTTCTACGAAATGGGGCTGTCAACATCATGCCCAACCCTCCTTCTTTATCCGGAATCGTGACTGGCAGTAACCCTGGAAAGGCTACAGGCAGAGTTACATTTATCAATACATTTATATTCCAAAAAACTGTAATAGTCAAATCATATACATTGATAAAAATAAATTATTTTAACTTTAATTAAATGTTGCTATGATTCCCTCATTTTAATCAGTCAAAATACAAAAGAGATAAATGTTCCTATACGTATATTTTTCTAATAATTTCTCATTGTACTAAAGTTATTTATTCATCTCTCAATCAATAGATCTTGAGTTAAACTAAGTCTGTTGGTCAATAAGCAAAATAACAGGTAAACAAACACAGAAAGTTGAATTGTTACAATGAAACAAGCTAATCATTGAAATGTATGTTCAGCTAAATAAGTGATCGAACAAATGCTTACTAACAACAACCAATCAAATTTAATTATCAATAATATAAGCTACATAATAAATATATTCTTAGTTCATTCATTTCTTATCGATATTTGTGTTTACTGTAAACATTTGATACTATTTAACAGGACAATAGAAATTTTTACTAGTAAATCATGAATTTACTTGCATAATATTGTTTTGTTTAACTATAAATTTCAATATTCAACCATGTTAAAGCACCATGAATAATAGAAGTACTTTAGTAACAAGTATACAGCTAGATTCTGTAGTTGCTTAAAAGAACATCATACCATTTTTAAAAAATGCCTATTTATATTTTAAAAGTTTATGTTTAAACCAAAACCGATATTAATAAAGCAGATTTGTAAAGAAGCACTGAACAGCCGTTTCGTCCTGGTATGAGACTCACCAGCATTCACGATCACCGCAAGCGGGAATCAAACCCAGAATCTTTGGTCTCCTGCATGAACTGTTAACCCATAACTCGGCTAGCGCTAATTAGCTTCATATTTGGATGTTGATTGAGTGGTCTAGAAGTTAAGTGTTCGTGCTCGAGACTGAAGATCCTGGGTTTGGTTCCCGCATGCACGGTTGATGGATGAGCACTGCTGAGGAGTTCTACACTTGGATAAAATGACCGTCCAGTGCTACTATGTTTCTAATAGCGGTCTAGTTTAGATCATTTTATGATTTCAGCTGAGAAAAACCGATATGAATGAAGTATAATTCATTGTTTAATCATTCGAAGTCTCTAACCATCGGTTACTAACGTCTCGCGGACTGCAGCGTGGTAGTCTACAGTTACTAACATGGTACAGTTCAGTGGTCAGTGACCTCAAGGATTTGTACCATGTTTTGGTTTGGTCGCGAACTAATCAATAATTTAACTAACTCGACAATACAGTTGGCCTCATAATGCATTTTTTTTTCATCATAAACACTATTGTTATCGTTGTAAAACTGTTTGTTATGATGAATGTTTTGGGCGTTTTTTATTTGTTTAATTCCATCTAATTGACTTTATTAGCTTCAGCATTTTGTGATCTTTCTGTTTTGAACTTTCTTCATTAAATATTATTAGTTTGTTTCTTTTTGTTTGATAGATTTTGGACGACCTAGTGGTTTATATTCTGATGGATTTCGTTCTACACCTCCACCGCCTGCTTATAGTAGTTTAAAGCACATTGTACAACCACCACCAGCATATTCAGAAATTCAATCTACCGACTTACTATCTAAACAGTGTGTTAATGCACCGACGTCATTATCAACAACAACACCAACCACAACAACAACTGATGCTATTTCAACAGAAGTTCACCAATCACAACACCACAATCAATCAATGCATAGAACATCATCATTAGCTAGTAAAAATTCTCCACCGTCTTATTCTGAAGTGGTTTTATCCCGTACCACTGATTCACATCAATGTCAAATCAATGATAATACATTGCTTTTGAATACCAAAGAAACCGAAACACCGCACACGTCTAATCTTGATACATCGAACACAATCGCACAAACCAATGAACCGTAGAAAGAAAAACAGCACTTTTTTTTCCCTTTTTTTTCTCTTTTTTTATTAAATAAAGAAAAATTACAAGCAGCAATTATTGTTCGATAAACTCTATAAATGATGATCAGATTTTTGTTTACCCAATATTTAACAATTTCAAAATAGACTATCATTATTGTTTAAATGTCAAACACTTTTCACCTTACATAGTTTTCATTAATTGAATTTCTTTTCTTTTCTCAATAACATCGTTTTTGTGTGTTTTGATTAAGTTTTTATTTGATCAATTAATCTGTGATGCTTTGTTTCATGTGTGTGTGTGTGTAGGTGTTTTTCTGTTTTCTTTATGCAATCGTTGTTTGTATATTGTGCACAAGTGAAAACATGTTCACGTTGTATTACTTATTTAATGAAATTTAATATATATAGATAGATATATTTATGTATTAACTTTCATCTTTATTACTTCAATTCTCTCTTGTTCTCAACGTAACTAAATACTATTGATATTGTTTATTTCGGCTGACTTTTATTTGACATTTGTTCTTCGTCTTCTATTACTGAAAGTGTACAAAAAATAAACTTCAATATTTTACAAATTATATACATATAAATTGAAAATGCTGATTTGTTTTATTTTTCCAGTTGTGGCGTCATATTAACAACAAAATAGTTAAAACCAATACAAATTAAATTAAGATTCATATCTGTTGAACAAGTGAATGGTTATCTGGAATCAGTAGCTTAGTGGATAACGGTTCTGTGTTTGTGTTCCATGGTGAACGTTTACTTTGAGATTGAGGTTTTGAATTTACAGTTGCGTCTCTGCGCTAATGTGGTAGGGCATCTTGAACTGATGTACGTACGTATGAAGTTCTATGTTGTTGCTGTCAGACGTAGCAGGTCAAGGCAGAATAATAATAGGTGGTAGATTTTGGTTAGTATGACACTATTCGTCGAGGATTGATTTAGTTGTTCGACAAACATCTGTATTTATAAATGAGTTTGAGTATATATTTCGCTTATATTCATTCCGTGTTTCCTCACCCATGTACCACGTTTTAGGCTCATATGAAAACGTATGGATATCATAATCAACAAATGTTTGTTTGTCCGTTGATCGTTCGTTTTCGATGACTCTTCATCTGACAATAAAATTTAATTTCAAAGCAATCATTGATCTACTTAATGAATACATTAACGTAATTTTCATTTTGCAAACTTTTAGGTCGATTTATATCAGCTTATTTGTTTCATCTTCACATGCTTTTTAATGATCAAAACATTTTGTACAAAAATAGCCCTTTTCAGATAGACATCAAAAAGTGATTAACAGAACTTATTTGAAGCTATTTTAAGGTTAAATTAACTTTATTATAACTCAATTATATTTGTTTTAAAAGATTTCCTATGAATATTTATTTGTGGGCTATTGATATTCATTCTTAAATTATTTTAACAAGCATTTTTTGTCAATTTTATTTTTTTTCAAAATACAGTTTTCTTATGATACACATGCTTATATAATTTAGGAATTATGAACGGTGCACAACTGGTTAACATAGAAGCAGTTGTATTTTATAGATTAGTAACTTACTAATGACTAACTGAAATCAGTAGTCTGAATTTGTCGTTTTTACCTCACGGTCAAAAATTCTTGTTGTCCGGTTCCTTGTGCATGGTTGGTGTACAATACTGAAGAATCACGAATTCAATCAAAACAATTATCAAATACAGCCTAAGGTTTTGATAATTTGTCAATCGATCTCAATATGTTGTGAGCATTACAAAAATATATTTCTTTCGTGATACAATGCTTTGTAAATCGTCTGGAATGGAGCAGGTGCATCCATCCTTTATTTTCTTCAATCTTAATCTTCCTAATTCGTCATAACCACTTTTTCCCTCCTTTTAGATTTATTTCACTTATTTCTTGAATCATATCTTTGAATTGTTATCTCTTCAATTACTGCTTATAGTTCTACTACCTCTACCACTATGGGATTTGAACTGACACTTGCACCTCTCTGTACTAATGCGGTATGGCTACTTGAACTGATGTAAGTATGTACGTACAAAGTTCTAAGTTGGAGGTAACTGATTGATTATCTGTAGATCCGATGACTTTTTATATGTCAAATAACACAGTGACTTATAAACAACAACAAAAAAACATCTTAATGTCTATAGGTTCATGTGTTCCTTCTAATTCAGTATAGTTCAATCAAAAGAAAAGAAGCAGATTTCTGCTTTGCATTCTATTCAACTATAGCCTATGTTTTGATATGATAGAATGACAAGACAAGATTATATCTTTGATTCTGTGATTTTGACTTGACATTACTTCTGTTTCAATTCAGTATAATGTTCTGCGTTGTAACTGACTGACTTATAATTGAATCCTAATTGGTTATGTATTTCTAAATTATCATCACATAATTTTGCATATTTAAAACAATAAATCTTTTTATTGATTATGAATATATTGTTCGTTTTTTGTTTAGATTGGGAAATTTAAAACAATCTACTATATTGTTTTCAGAAAATTTAATCATAAAAATGGAATTATTGTTGATGAGCAAATTGACTGACAGATTATTTAATAGCAAAACAATAGATAATCAATGTATTCTAAATAACTATACTGAATTTTACCTTGATTTTATTGTTTCCCTTTCAGTGTTGACGCCTTGATTTCCAATTATCTATTGGTCACAAATTGTTCTTTGTAAAAGACTAAATTACTGATATTTGATAGGATTTTATATAAAGTATGGTTATTAGTTATGTATCCAGAATCCAAATACAATAATAATTCGATTGACTATTGAAGAGAAATATTCTGATTATTTATTTGCATTCATCGATTGATTATTTTTATTTCATCTTATTTATTACTTCTGATCAAATGATTTACTGAAAAATTGACTGTTCACTTTTTAATTGTAAACCAATATTATGGTTATAATATGAAAATAAATTTCTATTACCATAATACGTGAAATGATCAAAATGATTGTTGAAACTTAGAAAAACTATTAAAAAGGGATGAAATATGAGGAAAAATAGAATTAGGTAATTGAATTTTCAGCTTAATTACCTCATAATTTTCAGACATTGGAAATGTATAAATCTGCTTTATCGATCCATGTAAGTAGAACATCATCATGTACAAAAAAACAAACATGATCCATGTTTTATGTTTGATCAACGCCAGCACGTTTCTTTATTTCTCACTTATGAATTGGTTTGCATCGATAAATAACATTTCCTTCATCTTCACTGTTGTTTACTTATTCTATGCTGTTGAAAAAATTGTCGTACTATTTATGTTCATTCGCATTAAATAGTTTTTCATTTATTGGTGTTCATTTCTTAATTGCTTTTGATCAAACGGAACACCATCAACACTTAAGTAATGTAAGAGATGAGAAGGAATTACTTTAAGTCACAAAGACAGATCTTTTTTGAAAGTCGTTAATAAAATCTTAATGAAAATTTCATTGGGTATATTTCAACATAAATTTCGAAACCATTTATCAATTTATTTCGAACTTATTTTTACCGGGTAGCTAAGTATCATGACAGTTATTTTTCTACCGCTCCCAATAACTTCCTTGGAAATATCATTTTCTAATTAATTCATTTGAAATCTCATTTGTTTGCATGTTCAAAACAATTAGCAATCTTTTGGTGCTTTTTTTAAATCTAAACTTTCGTCCTCTTTTATTGTGGTGAACGAATCACAAGGACCGAAATTCAAAAGAAAACAATCCAACAAAACCAAAATCAGTTTGATTTAGCCTAACCACTTCGTTTATTTTTCTGTATATGGTATGAACTTTATTTGAGTCATCTCAAAAATATCAAAGCACTCTTTTGCGTATATATCTGTAGTACTACTGATAAACAAAAACTTCAAAATACTTCACTACTGTTGCTTAGTCACTAAACAGTCAAAAGTTTGTATGATGCAGAATAACGCACTACGTAATGAGAATCGTTACTACGTATGACAGTTATATACTTGAAATCGTACTTGAATATTCTCGAAAAAGTTTGTTCAGAATTCTATCTACAAGAATCAAATCAAGTAACAAGCATTCTCAATAGACAGCCATGGGACAGTTACAACATATCCATATCCAGTACGTCACATTTGATGTCCAGGTTATCTTTAGCACTTTAAAAATTGAGGTGAATTTCGTGGATAATATCTGCTTACTGATTACGTTATTGCACGTAAGTGATACTGTACAGAAACTGTTTACGACTGACTAATCATCGATTGCCGTGTCAAGTAGTTAGCTGGAAGTCCTGACAAAATAAAAAGATCGAATAAGTGAATCATGCTTCCATGGTTAACAGTTAATTCTCCTCACTTAAATTTCGTAAAAGAGTGATATGATTCAATCTCCGTCTAGGTAATATCGATTTGTTTGAACAAATCAAAAATCCAGGTAACAGCATACTCTCAATCATTCTAGTCTGTCCTGTTTCTGTTAGTTTAGTTCGTTATTGAATGCTGTTTTACATGTAGTCTACATAGTTAGGGAGATATTTAACAAAGTACTGCTATAAAATTTCACACGCAAGTATTTGGGATGGTGGAGAAAATTTTTAGCTCAGGTGGATGATTGTGGTGGTGGTGTTTTGTTCTCTGAGCTGAGTTTTTTGGTTTTGGAGCTTTCATTGTTCTTCTGGACATCATCAGCACAAACTTCAGATAGAAGTGAAGCATTCGAATTTCTCCACGTTTGATCTGTAGCTTGTTCTGCTATCCTCGATCTTGATTGGCTGCTGCTGAGCTTAAACCTGTCGTTGTTTGCACCTTTGTTTTGATTGCATCCACCTTTTGATCTGTTTCTTGATCCTATGTCACCTATGATTTTCCTGATTGTCGCTCGAGATTGTAAAAGATCCCAATTCGTACGATTCGATGTTTTTGTGTCAAAGAAAGGGATAATTACAGTCGAAATCATTTCCGGAAGTCTATTACTGGCCGTGTTTCAGGTGAACTTTCAGTTGATAGTTTGGTGTATCACGGGGAATGAGTTATTAAGGTGTTGTAGTGCTATACTTTTACGAAGATAACACGATTGCTGAGATGGAAACATTCATCATTGTCCTTGATTCTAATAGTAACTGTTCTGTTGTACTCCTTTTGTTTAACTGTACTAAAGACTATCTCTCGCGCGCCAAGCGTGTCATACCTATTCCGCTTCTCTCCTCGGTGGTTGTTAGCCGCTTCTTTATTCCGGTCTTGATATTATTTTGACACCACAAGACCACGGAACAATATACTTCTTCTTCAAGAAATTATTCGCATTCTGATTTCTGGATCTATCGGGATTTACCTTGGTAATCTCTCAAACAAGGATAGATATGACCTCGCTATAATTGGTGAGCAACGACAACGAACAAGCATCAAATACGGAGAGTCTGTCATTTTTCTATCCGCTTTTCTTACTATTTTAACTGTTGTTTAATATATATAGATACTTTCTCAAAAATATGTATCGGCAACAGCGTTTTAATACGTTGGATAGATCCAAAATAACGATAACTAAGTAGACACCTAAATACAGTTGCTTAAATTTCTACCTGTCGCTTTTATTCCC